ACTACTGTTTGTATTTTTATATGGATATGAATTTTTAAACTTCTGGAAAGTAACTGTTTCTTAAACTAATCTAAATAAATTAAGGAATGAATGTTGGCTATTGCATCTAACATTATTTCCTGGCTTCATTGTGATATGGTGGGGGGGTTGAAGTGATTCTGGATACTGAGAAATATTTGGCTTTGACCCCACAGATGAGCACATAAAGACACAAATAAGGGTGAGGCCTGTACTCTGCAATCTTGTGCAGGGTGAACCAGAAGGTTCTTTGGAGAGTAGAATCAGAAAGGCATTCCCGCTCCGCTAATCCTCTTGCTGTTTCCTCTTCAGAAGACTGAGCCCCAGATTGCAACAGTATTTTAATGGTCATGGATCAGAGATCTAGCTTTAACTTTGCCTTACTAACCCAGAGCTTGTGATGTCCCTACAGTGAGCCCTTATTTCTGTTGAATAAATTTTAACTACTAAGCAATGAAAGGTTTACTCCAGAACACTGAGAGCCTGACAGTGGAGGAGCCACCATATTCCTGAGAACTTAACACAGGAATTGGGCACAGCAGGAAAAAATAGTCTGTGAGCATCTGTATTTCTCAGGCATTCAGACATCAGGTAAGGTTTAAGAGGGATTTTTTTTTTTATTATTCCTACAGAATTGTCTGAAATATTAATAGCAAAAACTGGACAGTTGTGATTAATACCTGACTCTTATTTGTTACAAACCATGACAACAAGCCTGGCTTGCTTCACCCAGATTTTTCAACAGATGTTCCCTTATCCTCCTCCACCAGCACCAGCCCCCCGCCAGGGCCACCAACACAAGGAAGCCAAAACCAGAACACACATCCACAGACATTCCCTACGTAACTTTTAGAGCAGCTGTTGAGTTTTTCAAACCAGTGCTTCAGCGATGCCTGAATAAACAAATCCTACCCCTATTCCAGTAAAAGCCTGATTTCCCTCCCATCCTAGTGAATTTATTGTCACTTATGGACACCCACACCAATAACAAGAACACTGAAGTGGGCAAAGCACGCAAACATCTGAGAATGCCCAAACCATGCCTTTGCCATAGAACAACTCCCCTTGTACATATGTGGTATGATCATACACTCTCTGGCCCTGGCCTCGCTGAGTACACAGGACAAATAATGCTCGTTGCAGGGAGAGAGTCACAAAATGCCCCTTAACCCCCTCACTAGCATCACTTTCCCTAGGCCTTATCCTCTGCTTCCAATTGGCCTCCCCATTGCACACACAAATACTGCTGGTAATTACAGCCAGGGATGGAGCAAACATCCTTAACGAGCCTTAAAATACACTTTGAAACATTGCTGGATGGCCTAAACAATGACTGTCTGCAGGAGGAAGGAACTGTGTTTGAGGGCCCCTAGGCTTCCTCCCATCTCTGGCCTGTGTCTCTGCAGACACCCACCCCAGGCAGGGCCCCTGGAAAATGAGAAAAGTGCAGTGAGCATCTAGGAAATGTTAGCTAGCAAGTCAGCCCTCCGGCTCTCAGCTGGGAACTCCGGGGCAGAATCAGGGATGGGCGCCCTCTCTCCTGGCAGCTCAGCAGCTCTTACCAAAAGCAGCTCCTTCTCTCCTGACAGCGCTGTTTGCAGTGACATTCCCAACGTTTTTGCAGAACAAAGCTGGGGGCTCCCCGTTGCTTCATGCAACCTCCCAGGGCACTGCCAGTCTTGGCACCGAAGCAGGCAGAGGTCCTGCGAACACCTCTGCAGCCTTCATAGCCTTCCAGGCACTGTGCACATACACAAAGCAGCCATGTTACAGGAGCAAATGTCAATTCAGAAATCGTAAGATTCTGCCAGTTGTCCTAACTCCGAAGAACAGCTCCTGGTGGGGGCTCCATGTCCCACACACAGTCCCTCATCAGATGCAATGCCTGGATTATTTATTAACTCAGTCATTGTTGGAGCTACAATGGCTTATAAGTAACATCCTAGGGAGTGGTATGTAAGACTGAATGGCAGAACTTGGTTCAGTCCTAGCTGCTGTTTTTTGCTTTGCTGATCCTTTTGTAATAGCGTCCTTTTCGTTCAGCGCTGTTTCATCATTTCAGACATCATAGGAAAATGATCGATTCCCACTCCCCACACTGCAAAAGCTGGGGCTGAATCCACAGTCCTCCTGTGATCACTGTGAGCACAGAAAACAGAGTAAGACTTTTTTCTCCTTGCAGTCAGACAGAATGGGAAAATGTTCCCTAGAAACAATAAAAAAGAAAAGCTGCTGCTAAACACCTTTCCTTTGAAACTGGGCAGCCTCAAACTTTGCTTTGCTTCTAGTTGGCAGAACCAAATGGTCACATTAACTGAAGCACAACATAAGTGCAGCACATGCATCCAATGAGGTCAGCTTCTTGCACAGGCTCCCTATTCACTCAGTCCCTGCCCTGGCACTACTCCTCTTCTACTGTAACCTGATGATTCATCTTTCCATGTGACAGGAAGGTAGAACTGGGTCTTCCACCTCAGCCCCTACTAAACACAACACAGCACATTTCTGGTCTTGCTGTCATTATACTGCTATTTAAATTTATGTGCACTAAAGCTGGAAGTCTTGCTCCTACAGTAGCTCTCCTGGGATCAGCTTTGACCTCATCTGCAAAGATCAAGACCCCTCTAAGCAGGATAAGGGAGATAATACACTGTAATGTCTTGGGATATAGGCAATTACAGTTCCAGCTCTGATATTGCTGACCCCTTTCACTCAAGCCACTACACAGTCAAGCAATTTATTTCCATCTCACCAGATCTGCTGCCATTTAAACTGGAGTGGTCAAAATAAAGGACATGAATACAACCAGCAATAAATATAAACGCCCAAGCTGTTGCGGGACTTTGTCAGGGCTATGTTGCACTGCAGTAAAAGATCAGGAATTTGGACTAGTTTTTTTCTGGTCTAGCACCTGTCTTCATGCTAGTAATAGCAACGGGTTGTGCTATATAGATGTAACTATCTGTTTGCTCGGGTTTTGTCAATGTCAACAGCTAAATTACTTTTCCCATAAAGACACCACAATATGCTTTAGCCTCCATGACTCACTGAAGACACCAAATGCTCTGTGAATCATCATCAGCAGCTATCATCCAGTATGATTTACCTCATTTTAGCAAATCAGAATGACGTATCACGCTAGTAAACTACAGACCAGGAGGAGTGTTCAGATAAACTGCAAAACCTCCCTGGCCAGAGCCCACACTGAAAAAAGCTGACTGGTTCCACATCTGGGGAATAAAAAAAAGGGGAGGAAAGGGGCAACAGTGTGTCAACAGTGTGTTCCCTTTATCAGATGCACTGGGCACTCTATTTGCATGACACTGAAATGAACCTTCAGCCAAAGCGTTACCATTATGAGGGAAAGAAACACCAACACCAGAGCTCCCATAGCAGAGGTTTTGCTCTGTCAAAGAGGGAAGGTATGAATATCCCTCATCTCCAGCCTGTTCCTACTATTCATTCCCTTTTAGAAGCTCATCCAGAAAGTTTGAGCAAAGATGGATCAAGGCAGGAGATAGCACAGAATTGTCCTCATATAAAGCAGTCACAGTTTAAAAGAAAGCCAAGTATTTTTTTGAACTGTAAAAACTATTTGCCAACAGAACTGGTAGCTACAGAAGGATACTTTACACTCAGCTTGTAGTGCTGTGGCCAAGGTTATTAGGCAAGCTTCATTAAACCTTTCTAAATGGTGCTGTTTGCTACCATTCTTCAGATGCATAATTTCCTTGTAAAGCAAGGAAATTATTACCCTGGCTATCACTTTTTAAATTACATGCATTAAGTTATTTTTCATGGCCAAATCTGCTTACTCTTCAGGACGTTGCTCATGCGATAAAGAGAATCATGCACAGTGCTATCACTTCTGCCTCTGGACAGGCAGGTCAATCTTACAGCTCTTAACCACAAGAATTGTACAGTAGCTGTACCCTACCTGGTTTTACATGCATTCCTCTTCCAGCACTTAGCTTTCAGAGTGTGCCTACAATTTCCAGAATCTTCAGAATAATTTGGTTAGTATTCGTTTAAACTCATCTCACAGCCTCCTCCTTTTGTAACAACATATGAAGAGAATTGCATCTCCTAATCTGCAAGTGAACCTGCAGCCCTAACGACTGATGCATACCAACTGCTTCTTTTGTCGACAAGGCCTTCTCAACATGCTATTCTGACGACGAAAATACCAAATACCAAGTAACTGTTGATCGTTGCAGCAGGAACATGAGCTGACTGCTTTCTCCGGAAAGATGAAAGGATAGAGTTTGATCCTGTTCCTACAGAACTCACAAAAACTTCCCTAAGAAAAGCATGCTTGATCTGGCTGCTTGTAACAGCAAGCTTCCAGAGGCTTCAGTGGATGTAGACTCAAGGTATCACAGGTCTCCCCTACTACTTCAGCTGTCCATGATCACATGCAGAATGGAAAGTCTCCTGTAGCAGGGATGACTCCTCAGCAAGGTGAGGACTGTGTCTGTATGTCTGTACTCACCCTGAGATGACACAGCACCACAGGGTATCAAAGTGAGTATTTGCACTACAATGAGACAGTCAGACAGAATTTTCTAAGATGAAAAGTGTTCTCTCAGCCAAACCTCATGAGTGGCATCTCTGGGACACCAGCTGGATAACCAGTATTTAAGTGTTTATTCTCACCTACTTCCACTTTCACCCATTCATTGGGGCACTCTGGCACCACTGGGGCTGCCATGTTCCGACTTCGCAGTTTCCTCAGCTTCCCAAGCTGATTCTTAACAACATACCTTCTTTAGCTCTGCAATTTGCATTGGGAAGTGTTCTGTAAACAACTATATTGCTCACTATACTAGTTCCTTATACAGAGAAAGACCTACTAGCCACAGGAAGAAATGAGTCTGTAGCACAGGGGAAAAAAAAAAAAAAAAGAAAAAAAGAGAATCCTATAGTTATCATTCTCAAGAATGTTTCTCTATTTGATCAAGAAGCAAAACACCACCAAATCCTAGGCTATTAAAAATCATAAATTAATCCAATGTTTAATTAGAGAAAAATCAAAGCCTTTTGTGGCCAGACAGGACATACATTTTGCCAGGCCATCTTCTCTCTAGAAAGCTGCTTCATTTAACATGGCACAGTTGTAAATTTCACATCAGCTTGGTGGCTTGGGTTTGCAAAACAGGAAGGTCTTGAGAAAAACAAATCAACAAATTCTGAGAACCTGAATTGCTAGATGGCTGCAAGAATTCTTGTGAAACATCTGTATTTGTCCTAACATAATACATAACCGATGTCTAGGTGCAGGAAATACAGTGAGCAGGGTTGAAGTAATCCACTGATCTGATTATGCAGCACAGTTTCTGACACTTTGAGCTTAAGTTCATTTCAGTTCTCAGAGATTGTTTCTTCTCCTTTATAAACAACAATGTTCTGGTCCGTTTCATACACTTTGACTTTATAAAGAGTTCCCACAGGCAGAAGCTTCTTGAGGTTTTCCCAGATGAATACTGCAACGTTCTCTGTGGTGCTAAGAGTGAAACATGACGAGATTCAGAACTGACAGCAATGGTATTTGAGGAAGCTGTATGCAGAATGGGCCAGGGGGGCCTGCTAAAGGCCACAGGGAGTCAGGGGGGCAGCTTTCCCAGGATGACACCCTGAATGGAAGCGGGGCTTGAGCCACCGCCAGCAAACATGGATGAAATGAGGTCTAATTAACAGATGATATCTGTCTCCCCAAGCTGCTTACAGAGCAGGCTCATGTGGCAAGTGCTAGTCTGCAAAAGGCTCCTCAGGTGCAAGGAAGTGGTACCTTCCTTGGTGTGAAGGATGGCATCTGCCCTAGCAGGCCTGCACCCGGCCCTGCACAGTGAGGCAGGCTGCACGGCAGCAGGGCTGGAAGGCAGGCAGGGCACCCAGCATCTGACATGCACAGGTATCGAGGCTGCTCCTTCAGATGTAGGACTAAGCCTTGAAGGCTGTTCCTTGACCCTGCAACCAATGCTACGAGGAGTCCCCATCACCCACCTCACAACCTCAGCAAAGTACGGCACATCCTTATCCAGGTTTTTGTGGTCAAGTGGTTCCAGGATCGCCTCCTGCAGAAAGAAAACAGTGACAATCTTGTCCTGGTTGGTCAGCCGACCTGAGGTTCAAATTACCACGCGCACTGTACCGGAGCAAGGCAACAGTATGTAAAGAAAGGATAAAATCCCTACATCCACCTGTTAACTTCCTAGTTGGAGACATGGTACTGCCTCACATCACAGTGCTAAAGCATTTTAGTCTTAAATCATTCCTTAATTTCTTCCTTATTTCCTACCATCATCAACTCACCATGCCTCCACCCTGGTATTAGACAAACTGCTAAGCTCTAACCAACTCTCCCAGGGGATGTGTAGGAAAATAGTGCTATTACCTGCATATATTCTTTCAGGTCTGTCAGGTTTATAACCATTCCTGAGACTGGGTCAATCTGCAGGGAAAACAAAAGGGAGATTAGTAGCCTAGCTACACGTCCCTGTTAACAAGGCTGCTATGGGCCTGTATAAATCAGACTGTGAATATCTGTGCACTTGGGACATCTGAGCCACAAGAAAAATAGCTTTCCACCTTTACACACTGAGTTCCAACTCTACGCCTGTGATGTTTCCAAAGGCTAGATACAGCAAACAAACAACTCCAGTGGTTCCAGTCTTTCATAAAAGCTGACACCAGGGAGGAAAAGCTCACTGAAACAGTCTTCAGGCAACAATCTAGCATGACCATAAGCAGGAAAACAGGCATGAAACTGTTAGTTTGAACAACCAGGGACAAAACAGAGACCAGCTTGAGCTCAGGGCATCCTCCCATCTGGAGAAGGCAAAGCTCCATAAACAAAATCAAGTTGTCTAGTTCACGGCATACTTGGGGAATGTAGAAGGAAGAGACTTTAAAATTTTAGTTGCAGATGTGAATAGAAACCCCCTTTCCTATGAACTGAAAATCCTCAAAAAATTGTTTGGAAAACATCAAAACCAAAGTGCTATCTAAAAACTCATTCTGGAGAATACACAGAACAATGACAGGATGAAGGGTGAAAAAAGACTGCAAAAGCAGAATTTTCTTTTATATTTTCAGCAAAATACTTTGATAAAACAGCAGATAAAATCATTTACTGGAAGAGCTAAGCCTCCCTGTGGCTCAGCAGTCATCCAAAGGTGCCCCACAGATGTGACCAGAGCCTATGCATTCTGCAGTGAGGCTCTGGCAGACTTAAGTTATGTGCCCAGAGGATGATTACGAACCTTGGACTTAAAGATGGTCACCTGCAAATACTTGTTAGAAGCAAGATAAATAGGACAGTGATTACAGAAAACCTTTTATAGTGACATATACAGTTTCCACAAACACCCTGGGAAACGTAGCGATTGAGCTAGAACTTTGGTTACTGTGGAAGATGTGGACCCACCTATCCTGCCACCCTAAGGAATGGAAAAAAAATGTTGATCATACTTACCTCTCCACACACAGTGACTATAACTGAAAGAAAGAAAACATCAGGTCACAATGACACCGGGACACCATGAACCTAACAACAAAGTACACTACTGATTGGGACAGACAACCAACTCATCACTAATCCACAAGGATTTGTGCAGGCTTCCCAGCACTTAAAAGTGGGACTGTTTTCATAAAATGGGTATCCACTCCATAAAGAATAATGACTCTAGAGTCACTCAACTTGTCAAAGAAGGCATACCTCAAGGTCTGATGCCCAGAGACACACCACTATTCCAGAAGTGCCCCTTACAGGCAGAGATAAGACTAGATGACTTCTCAAGCTCCTACTCGTAACAGCCTGTGCCCTGCACACTCCAGGTCACCACAGTCTCTTGCTCAGCAAAGTCTTCTGGACAATGCAGATGCCCTAGGTGCCCATTAAATCACCAGAACCTAAGACCATAAGATGTGGAGTCAGCTTATAAATCCAACATAACAGAATACCAGAAAAGGAAAGTAAGGGATGAAGTGGCCACCAACTCTCAAAGAACTAGAATTACTGCAAGGTGTCATTTCCGCCCAGAAGTCCTTTCAATAGAGACAAACACTTGGAAACATAATCCTTAAACTCAGCATTTCTTCCCACTAATCCCAGGAGCTAAAAACAAAATCACAGCTCACTGGGGAACTCACAAAAATAGAAAGACAGTGATTTGAGCCTGGCTGTGATTCTCCCCTGGGGAGGAAAACCCCCTTTGTGTGCTTTTTCTCACTCTCTCCCCCCACCCCAAGGAACAGTTCTAATGGCATCTCCCTAGCTTTCCAGCTATTTTTTTTTTTACAGTGGTAAAGTCCTTCTTATATGAGAAAGCAATAACCACTGTGCCTGTAAGTCAGCTTTAAAATGAAGGGCAGATTTTCAGTCCAACAATTTCTCAACCTGTCTTCCCTGGTAAAGCTAGCAGCTCTGTAGCAGAGGTTTCAGGGTACCTATGATACACAGCATTAAAGAGGGAACCAGCCTAATAACTGGAGAGATCTGATTCTATGTGCACAGGCTATAGATGGTAAGAGAACTTGTTAAAACAACATTTGAATAAAGTTTGTGGGCCATTTAAATTGTATGTCTCTTGCTCAGAAAAATCTTCATTCAAAACACATTGATTTTGCAGATTATCAGCAAGTAGATTTGATTAATCAAGTGACATTCTGAGATATATATTATCAATTTATCTTAATAGCTTGCAAATCCATGCCATGGTTCAACCTCCCGTTACTAAGGAATCCTTCTAATCCTAAAAAAAAAAAAAAAAAAAAAAAAAAAAAAAAATCAGACACTAAAAGCCATATCAAACTGCTGAGAGACGTGACTAGCCCAGCTCTCCCATGGGTTATACCGCATTCAAGCCACTCTGCCTGAGAGCAGCCCCTGTCCATGACTACACATGCAAGCATGGAAGACAACTTCTTACCTTTATAGTTGTGCCCATGGCCATTTGGATTATTGCATTTCCCAAACAGCTTCAGGTTTTCTTCATCACTCAGGGATTTACTGTGAGAAATAGACATGGCATTTCAGGGTCCATTATGGATGTTAAGGGCTTCACTTCAACAGTGACTGCTTTCCAGCTCTTCCGTCTAGTCACTCTCCCAAATTTAACCCACCAGCTTTTCCTACTCTGGAGGCACAAACAGAACCGGAGTAGTATTTGGCCCATGAAAAGATGTTGTTGGCAACGGGGGTTTTTTGCTGTAGTTTTGTATTTATATATGCAGGTTTCCTAACAACTACCTAATACCACTGCTGTATGAAGACTAACAGCTATTCACACGTAGATATAGCAAAATCACTTGGGCTCCCAGGAGGAAGCACCCGGAGCAAACTATGCACTTTATTCGTTATAATTAACTAACAAAGCTTAGGGAGCTTCTCCAAGAAGCGTAAAGGATGACTTCCCTCTCCGAACCTTTCCTTTGAAGAAATTCAAGTGCCTACGCCGAGGAGTATTTCAGGTCAAGGCACTCTTCAGGAATATGATTTTAAGAAAAAGGCGAGAGAGATTAGGGGTGCAGCTTGTTGCTTACACACCGCAAGCATGATTCGTCCCATTTAAAAACAGAAGTTCCGACCTCGTAAAACCCTGCTGAGCACCGACGGCTCACATCGGGACTGCCTGCTCCAGGCTGCAGAGAACGGGCTCGAGCAAGGCGAGCCGGGAAGCGCTCGACCCGGCGGCCGAGCTGGGCGGCCGCCTCCGTGCGCCCGGCTCGGGGGGGGCCGCTCGCACCGCGCTGCGAGGCCTTTTCCGCCGCGGAGGGGCCGGCGGGGCCGGGCTGCCGCGGCCGCTCACCTGTGCAGCCGGTGGCAGGCGCTGAAGCAGACGCTGCGGGAGACCCGCGCCCGCCGCGGGGCCATGGCGGGGCCGCTCTTGTGCGCCGGCGCGGCCGGCCTCCACCCGCCCCCGCGTCCCGGGGCGCAGCGGCGGCTCGGCAGCGCCGCCCGTCCTGCCCGAGCCCGGGCGGGAGCCCCGGGCCCGCGGGGGGCAGCCGGGGCGCCCGCCTCTTCCCCGCGGCGCCGGGCTCAGCCCCACCCCCGGCCGCTACGGCAGGGCCTCACTTCGGCCCGGCGCAGCGGGCGGGCGCGCAAGTGGGCAAAGCGCCTGCTTCGGTCATCGCCGCGGCGCGGCTGCTCCGCCTTGTCCCCAGGCAGCGAGCGCCTCCTGCGCACGCACCGCGATCTGGGATGAGCCGGCGATACAGAGGGAAAATTAAAAAAAGGCTGTTGGGAGCCGCTGCGTCAGCCCGGGCAAATGCAGAGGCATGACAGCAGCTGCCACGGACCGTCGGTGTGATCTGCTGTAGCAAAAGCCTTCCTGCATCAGCTGTTTACTAGCTCCTTTTTCACTGAATCACTGAGCGGTGCTGAAAACAGGGAACTCTGGGAACAGCAATCACCGTGAGGATAAGCAGCAGCTGTTCAAACGTTTCTACATGGGCTTCCAGGAGAGGGAAGGATCAGCTCTGAAGGATGGGATGTGAGACTGAGAAACACACATTTTACGGTTCAAATCGCTGTTGTTCATCTGTGTCCAAGTGGGCTTGGCACGATGGTATAGGGAGACATGATGCTGTTGAGTACCTTTGAGCTACCCTTTCAGCTGAGTTGAAATTCTGCTTTAGAGAACATTCACAAAAAATATCCTGGATTACATCAAAGTTCCTCATCTGCATTACTAAGTTCTGAGCTAGTGGATGTGAGGCCCAGGAACAGAATTAGTTAAGATACCCAAAAAGTGCATCAGTGAAACAAGCTGAAACAGCAGAGGAGCTTTCTACAGGGCAAGACTGGGGTTTGTTGCAGAACCGAAGCAGACACCTGAAATTTGTGCCTCCTGCCTCTTCTCTTTTCGTTGATATTCCTCTTCCAAGATGTTTCAGCCTCTCATTCATCCTGTAGAGATAATGTTAGCAATGATTTGGCCTGCGGGCCAACATTTTCACTTGCTTGTTTTTTTATAGCATGACAGCTGCAAGAAGTATGTTTACAAATGCATCAGTGTAAAGGGGTGGGCCTGCCAAAGGAAAGCTGGCAGGCCGTGAATGCACTTGCAAGGTGTTTATACAACAATCCAAAGAGAAGCAGTTCGCAAAGCTAATACTCACCTGAAGGGACTGAGAAAACTTTGTAGCTCTAATTCCTACCCCCATAAAAACATGGTTTGGGTTGGAAGGGACCTTTTAATTTCATCTTGTTCCAACCCCCCCCCCCCTCGCCCCCGCACAGGCAGGGACCCCTTCCCCCAGCCCAGGGGGCTCCCAGCCCAGTCCAACCTGGTCTTGAACCCTTCCAGGGAGGGGGCAGCCACAGCTGCTCTGGGCACCCTGGGCCAGTGTCTCACCACCTGCACAGGGAAGGATTTCTTTCTTCTATCTAATCTGAATCTACCCTCTGTCAGTTTAAAACCATTACCCCTCATTCTACCCCCACACTCCCTGAGAAAGAGTCCCCTCCCCATCTTCCCTGTAGTCCTGGAAGGACTGGAAGGCTGATGTAAGGTTTCCCCAAAGTCTTCTCTTCTCCAGGCTGAACAGCCCCAACTCTCTCAGCCTGTCCTCATAATAGAGGTGCTCCAGCCCTCCCGATCACCTTTGTGGCCTCCTCTGGCCCCGCTCGAGCAGGTCCGTGTCCTTCTGATGTTGGGGGCCCCAGAGCTGGACACAGGACTGCAGGGGGGTCTCTTGAGAGCAGAGCAGAGGGGGAGAATTCCCTCCCTCGACCTGCTGGCCACACTTCTCTTGATGCAGCCCAGGACATGGTTGGTTTTCTGGGCTGCAAGCACACACTGCTGGTTCACAGTCAGTTTTCCATCCACCAACGCCCTCAAGTCCTTCTCCGCAGGGCTGCTCTCAATCCACACTTTGCCCAGCCTGCACTTGTGCTTGGGATTGCCCTGACCCATGTGCAGGACCTTGCACTTGGCCTTGTTGAACCTTATGAGATTTGCACGGGCCCACTTCTCAAGCCTGTCAAGGTCCCTCTGGATGGCATCCCTTCCCTCCAGTGTGTCACCGCACCACACAGCTTGGTTTCGTCAGCAGACTTGTTGAGCCTGTACTCGATCCCACTGTCCATGTCACCAACAAGGATGTTAGAGAGCACTGGTCCCAGTACTGACCCCTGAGGAACGCCACTCATCACTGCTCTCCACTTGGATATCTAGCCATTGACCACAACTTTTTGAGTGCGACCATCCAGCTAATTCCTTATCCACAAAATAACAGCTCTGTCTATTCCACAGCACTGTGGTATCTGAGGAGCTATTGTTAAGCCTCAAGAATGTCCCTGGTCATATGCCTGATTTGAGATGGTTTAGATAAAGTAAGTATACACAGCAGTCCTTCCCTGTACCAGTCACAGGACGGGGCTGCCAGGCTTGTTGATGCCCTTTCTATCCTGACAAACTAATTTGACCTCTGGTATGATTATAAACCTTACAGACTTGAAGGAGTGCACTCTTGTAATAACCTTCATGGAGTTCAAGCAAAGAAGTTCATAGAGTGTGGTGATTTTCAGAAAGCTTTGGGAGAGGGGGTAGAACCTGGATTTCTCAGTGCTGTAAGGGTTTGAATGGAGGTAACTTCATCAGCATATTCCCTCAATGCCTGGAAATTCTTGGTTCCCCCAGGGGTTACAGAGTGTATCCACCCGTTTGTGGAGTGGGAAAACTCCAAGCCTCAGGGCAAGATTTCGGTATAACAGGAACAGGAGAAAAATCAGCTTTTGACATAGTGGAGTACAGCCCCTATGCATACCACACAAGCAGGGGCTAGGACTGCATGCTGTTGAAGTACAGCTTTATAAACACAGCACGAACTTTGGACTGCAGGGCATCTTTCTTCCTCCACACTACTGATCTACAGCCCTGCCTTGGGTACCCTGACTGGTTGCAGTTAACACAGGGTTGCACATGAACCTCTGACACTGCATTTCTGCTTCTTTCACCTCACCAAGAGAAACAAGTTTAAAAAGGAGCAGTGATGGTGACAGAACTCTACCCGCCGTCATTAAGCACTTCCTTAGCATCATTCAGCTTCCAATCCTGGGGATGTGACTTCGCTGGGGGTTGTTCTCTCCCTCTGTGGATGACAGGCTACAGGAGCGCAACTGAATTGGCTGACACGGCAAGTTTCTGACAGGGGGTTGGCTGCAGGAGAGGAGGCAGCCAGTTGGGAGAGCTGGAGCACCAGCAACGGGAGGTGTTTGCCATCTAGTGGCTTTGTCAGCTCAGCTTTGGCATGAGCCTCCCCTCTGCCTTCTCCCAGTGCTGCAGCCCCAGTGTACAATCTTCGTTTCTCTCCCTTGTCTTTTTCCAAGGCCTGCAAGGAAGGCGAAGAAAGCTCAGAGAAGAGATAAAGCTGAATTGTCTGGGTAGGGTCAGTCAGTTCTGATTTGGCTCTGTTCTGCCTGGGCTGGCCTCCAGAACATCAGGAGTGGGGGAAAAAAAATAATATAAAAAAAATAGGCAAGTTTGCAAATAGGAGACAAGGGCTTTCCTTCAAACCCTTGGGCACGAGGGCTCAGTTTTTGCTCAAGGAAGTGGTTCAAAACATTCTCCAGTCATGTCACAGTGAAACAATATAAAAAGTTCTTAAGCCAGGAGAGGAATCCATTCTCCTGGAAGCCTTCTCTTTTCAGTGTTCTGAAAGGCAGAGCCTGCAAGTGAACTGCTATAGAGGGCTTCCCTCAACACATCTATCCACCTACACCTTAGAGTTCAAGAACTGTAGGAGCCTGGATGAGTAATCAAGCACACGAGAGGGTGTTGAGTTTGAGCTGCTCAACTTAAGAGCCAAGGGATATCAAAGACACAATGGAGTTCTCCAAGTTTCATACTGGTTGAATTGTGACAAGGGCAGGAAACAGCCATCAGAGCTGCATCCAGCTATCCTGTTTAAGCAGGAGCACGGTGGAGATGTGTCATGCATGTCTACAAGACCATGTAACATAATAAGGTATGTGTTGGGGTTGCACCTGTTACCTCCTGTGGCACAGCAGTCAGCCATGGGTCTGGTGAGGGCAATGAAAGAAAGGACGAAACTTCACAAGGTTTTATTTGAGGGCACCGCTAGTGTACAGAGGAAAGCACTACAAGTTCAGCTTCTGTAAGTCTTTGCATCTACCTTCTGGAGCTCACTGAAGGCAGTTTTGATGCAACAAGGGTGAAATTACATCCCTTCACTGGGCCTGCCTGTTACTAGTTGGTTTTACTCCTCTCTTCTGCTTTACACATTTCAGCCAAAGCCACTGCCCTAAGCACTCATCTTCTCTTTCCTTCAGAGTGCATTGCTACCAAATGAAGGTAACGGTCACCTTAGTTTCCATTTTCTCCCTTGCAAGCCTTACACATGGCAGCCTTTGTGAACTGCTGCTAACTGGTCCATCAAGATAGTGATAAAATTAAGATAAAGCAGTGGGCTGTTTGAGTGAAGGGGCTTCTGCCTTCCTCAGACCCTTTGCTGTATATTGTTAGGAATATAGCAGTAACTCAAAGGTTATGATAGAGAAAAAGCAGTTCCTTCATCCAGGGCATAATGCAAAGGCGGGAGGTTAAAGAAAGCAGAGGTTTCTTTCTGAGCCTGACCTGGCCCTGAATTACAGGAGGTGACAAGGTCTTCAGTTAGCTGGAAATAAAGATGCCGTGGAATCCATAAGGCATTTGCACTGCAACTTCTGCTCGACCCAATTCTGTGAAAGTCTCTGCATCCAAGACAAGCAGAAAGGCCCTTTGGTTCTGCAGGATGACAAGAAAGCCAGAATGAATGCCCAGGCTGAACTTTCCTGCTGTGGAATGCACTATATCTGTCACACACAAGGGAGCCCAAGTGTACAGCCAGGCCATACAGCCAGGTACAACCAGACTATACAGACTAAACCTGTAAGACAGTTGGCCAGGAGCACTGATAGTCACAGATGACATTCAAGAAACACTAACATTCCAAGGTACACTCCTACTTGAAGTTTGCCTGGCTGTGCTTGGCGGTTGCAGAGGCACACACCTTGGGGAGCAGCATGGTGCTAGAAGTATCTGCCAGACAACCTCGAATTCAGTTTAGCTGTTTAGAAAGTATACCTAATACCATGTGACTTTGACAAACTAGTATCAATAAGTTACCTCAGTGGGGGAGACCACAACAGACAAGATGACTCCACTGTCTTCTGCCGTAGCGTTAGGCACTGGCACAAACACAGGCTCTGATGGGTAGGATCCATCCTCCTGCCAAATCTAGCAAACACAGTAACATACGGATGTGTTTCATTTCATTAATACTTTGCTACAGTTA